CCAGAAAAGGATGTCCGAATATCACAAAGATAAGTAAAATTTTATGTTACTTTGCAAACTTAAGTTAATCTTTCATTCTTACTGCAAGTGGCAGATTTCAAGAAGTTTTACCTCATGCGAGGTCTACCTTTATCGCCAAAAGGGCGAGAAATGAGTTGTGACCGATTTTCTTATTATGTTTTTCAATTACTCACGCGTAAAACTAAAGTTGATGTATAATAAAAATAATGTTGTGTAAAGACTTAAATATTGTAAAAAGTTATTGTATAAATTTTATTTAAAACATTCTGGCAAGAAAGAAGTTTTAGTCTGAAAGACTTTTTGAAATGTATTATTTCAGTGTAGAAAGAATTGGCACTTGCTTTGAAAAGAATAGAAGTTAACAATGTACTACTAATGTATGTTTTCAAATGTATAAAATTAACGGCATGTTAATATGTTCTTATATACAATGTGAACTGTTATTTTAAATGTTAAGAAATACCGTGATATGGTAAAAGTGAATGTTAATTTTTTTTTTTATTCGTGTGACTGTAAAAAGACTAAAGCATGGCGAATATGTGTTAAAGGTTGAATGATGTAGTTAGGCTCTCTGACGCTACACTTTAGAGTTAGAGCCACTTTTTAGAATAGTACCTCAGGGTTTAGAGTTGAAATTAGGGTGTGTTAAGAGGTCTTGTTATGTTGAATTTTAACACGTTAGTGTTTTGATTGTAGGAGGAAGTGTGGAACACGTAGACAGAAACACATTCGTGTTTGGTGTTCTTTTTTACAACACATGTCAGAGAGCACGGGGAGAGATAATTAAAATAGTCATGAATGAAATAAGAATGTTAAGAGAAGTATAATTCTATATGTTACTTGCCATTGTCATTGTGTAACATTTCATTAAACTAGTTTTCCTTCCAGATCTCTGGAAGGAACCAGAATTGAATAAAAGCTCCTGTTTAGATGCAGTACAGATGAAAAAAAAGATTGTTGTATATCCTGGGAGCTGCTATTGTAACAAATTTCTTTTCTTTAAATTTTCTAGTTTCTAACGAAGTTATGTTTGTAAAAGATTGGCCTCGCGTTAGATTCTAGAGCTAAAAGTTTTCAACAAGGTCGTTTTAGACCTCAGTTTCAAACTAATTAACTCTGGCGGGAAGTATGTAAGGATCTTAAGTTTTACTAACGTTTATTTTATTTTAAATCTTTACTATCACTTCTTATTTTCTACTTCCGGCCAGAATTATAAGCCTTAAGGTTTTTATGCAAAGTTTGTCTGGCGAACGCCAAGTATTTAAGTTGTGGCCTTTTGCCAAGCGAGAGAGAGGAAGCAGTGAGTTCGAAGCAGGCCGCTTACCTTAGAAGTTACGCAGTTGCTGTTTGCCTTCCAGGCCAGAGGTTTTAATCCTCTTGATAACTTTTAAACGTATTGTAGTGTTCTTCAGTTATCTGTACTACATACGCCTTCCTGTTAAAATAAGGCCAATCTTCCACGTTTATTATTATAAAGTTAAATTAGAGTTTAGTTTTATTTTTTATACTTTTACGTTAGACCCCAAGTGGCGGGTCAGTGTATTCCGAAGTACGAAAGTTATTGTATATAGAGAAAAATAAAGGGTTTTGTATACCCTTCGTCTGTATCCTGTCTATTTACCACAATTAGTGAACATAGCTTTAGTAAGCTCTCTGTTCCGAGTCAGGTCCTTGTATGTTCCCGAAGAAGGTAAGAAGGAACATTGACCCTGATAAGCATACCTGCAAAAAATTAGTTTTTTATTCAAAATTTCCTAAAATATACGTAAACTCACATACTGGCACGTTTTGAAGTTTGGCATATTTGTTATAAACGATAATAACGCCAAATATGTTTTACGGCTTTTGTTAAAATTATTTGAAAGTATGAAGGATGAACTTTTTTCCGCTCGTGTGAAATGAAAAAAATCGGATGTGTACACCACATGACTTCCAATAATATGACGAAATATTAAATTTCACGCATTTTTTCTTGCATTCCGTTTAAACTTATTGGATTGAATTAAATCTACTTCGCCGACAGCGCATAAACCCCAATAGAATAAATGCGTTCTTTAAAATTCACTCTATTTGTTTACTATAGCGACACTCTGGCGCTAGGTTCACTTAACAGTATTATATTTTGTTCATATTATTACTCAGAATGCATAAAATTTATATCATTTAAAGAATTATCTAATCGTTGCCACATGTTCTATTCAAATACTATAATAAAGCTAGAACGATGTAAAAGAAAATTAAGCAAACAAAAAAAAAAAAACAGTTTTTCACAGACGATTTAGTATTTCTTCTCATTCAATTAATTCAGTTCTCACTTCGCGACAAGGCAAAAATACATAAAAACCCAAAATATATCTGTATTAAAAATTACGAAGTAAATCTTAAACACTTATTTCCTCGAAAAAATTCCAGAAAGGATTAAGCATGATTTAATTCGCAATAATAAATGAAGGCATTTATTTTTGTTCTTGCGAAGCTGCGTTTCTCTAGATTGGCAACATATCCTCTACTCTGCTGTTTCAAATGTAAACAAGCAATAGCCGCCATCAAAAAAATTATTAGGCTTAGCGGCACTTAAACAACTTTAAAATTGTTGATAATTCTAAAAATATTACATACAGATTTACTAAAGGCATAAAAACTTTAACCGGAAGATAAGAACAACATAATTCAATCATTTTTAAAGCAAAAAATGTACAATTTACAAACATATAAGAGTAAAGAAACTGAGATCACTGAGCCGGGTAAAAGAGTGGATATATATATAAATATATTTAAACAAATTTAAATTTTAACAAACATGTATATACGTAAAAAACCAAATTTAAAGTTAAAATAATTTAAAAATGTGCAACATATAAAGATTTAATTTCGAACTAATCTACAATATCATTTAAATTCAGATAGCATAAGCAAATCAAGTGCAAAACCAAACCATGAAAATAAATTCACCAATTTAGCAAATCAAAATTAATCTAAATTAAAAAAAAAAAAATGCATAAGTGAATGACTGTTGAACAGGCAGGAGACAGACTGGTCTCCTGCCTGTTCAACAGTCATTGAAGTTGGTTGGGAAGTTGGGGAAGTTGGCTCCAAACCTAACGCTCCAATCATTCAATTCGTGTTTCGTTATTCATGCAGGTAAGGGTAAAAGTAAAAACCAAAAGTAAGGAGTGAAGAATGTCCAAAAAGAAATACCAATAAAGTGGTACCTTTAGAAATTAGCAATTAAAAATTAAAGTTCTAAAAGGAAAATACGAATGAAGTTTTTTGAGAAATAAGCAATGTAAAGTCAAGTATTAAATTAAACTTTTTAAAAAATTAAATTTTCAAAAAAATTAATTTTTTAGAAAAATTAATTTAGAAACCAATGAATTTTAGAAACCCTTGTCTACAGAAACCTCCCCGACATGAATATACATATTATAAAAAGAAACTAAAAAGGAACTAGACATAATTTATATAAACCAATAAGAAACAAAAGAACTAATTCATATTTAAAATAGATATATATATATATATATATATATATACACATATATACATATACATATATATATATATATATATACTTAAAATATAATTTCATATCTAAAAATACTTAAATACTACATAAAAATATTAAAAAATACTTAAAGCAAGTAAATAATAAGTTTTAATTCTAACTTACCTGCTAATTAGCGTTGGGGTCTGCAAAGTATTTTCAAAGTGATGTAAGTGTGTTCTTCAAATTATATAGATGGCGCTTATGTAACTAAAGTTGAGTGCCCAGCTGCTGTCTTTGTTATATTAAAAAATTTTTTGCAAACTTTAATATTAAAATATTTAAATATAAATCTAGAAAAAATTAAATATCCTAAAAGTATGTAAGTCAAGTTTTAATTTTAACTGATCAACTATTTATGATAGGGAGTTAAGTAGCTGAGCCAATCAAGAGATGTAAGTTTGCTTTGCAAATATCATAAAAAGAGTACTAATTGAAGTAAAGTAGAGTTAAGTGGCTATTGTGAATTAATAAATGTAAACTGTTTGTAATGTGAAATGTGTGTTCTGTTGCAAAATTGTGTAAATATTGCAAATAACGTTTGGCGCGGCCGATTGCAACCAAAATACGAGGTGAACATCTACACGTTATAGTAGTCATATATACAAAATTTCAACGTTCTGAGGCTACTCGTTTTTGAGTTATGCGAGATACGTACGTACATATGTACAGACGCCACGAAAAATTCTCTTCAGAATTCATCTTAAAGCAGTTTTATAATTTTTTTGGAGGAAATAAGTCTTTTATTCTGTCCTTACGTACAGATATCACGCAAAAACATCGTTAAATAGCATTCCAAAACGGTCAAGACGGTTATTTTCGTTGAAATTTGCTGCCTGAAACTTTTCGCGATTACAATACTTCCTTTTTACTTCGTACAAGGAAGTAAAACGGAAAGGAAAACGGGTTGCTATAAATTAAGAAATTCGACAAGTAAATTAATTATTCTTGGCTCAAACTGAAAAAAATGTGTCAAGATAAATTTTAAAATTTCTCCATAAATTTCTCACCAAAAATTACAAAATTTAATATTTAGGCGTATTTTAGTGGTAGAATCGAAATATGGAAAAATTGGTATGTTATTTAAAAAAAGTCATATTTTTGTATTAAAATGCCTACGTTAGAACAATGCTATATACTAATCTAATTTATATCCTAAATAGCGCTTTTGGGCATGGAAAACCCAAGTTAAATTTCGACAATCGGTCTAGTTGAACGAAACACATAAAACTGTCTCCCACCTTTTTTTTTTTTTTTTTGGTTCCTTTGTTTGTTTGTTAAATGTGTACATCCGGAATGTTTTCAAGTAATTCAAAACCGCTATTTTAATAACATAAAAATTTTCACTGTCATAGTTGTATGGCAGTCTTTCCAAAGTCATGTCACAAATGATGCAAAAATCATCTACAAAATTTTATTTACTGTCTTAGAAAATGTTCAATACAGGTAATATAAGCAGAATTAAAATAAAACAATCCAAAAATAATTTACAATCCTAGGGCTTCCATGAATACCAGTGTCTCTATCAACAGCATGGTTTGATGAATTCGCTTGCTGCTTCTTTAGAGATTTTTGATTCCTCTCCGGCCAAAACTTTTCCAAAAACACTCCAGTAACTCATTTCGCACGGATTTGCTTCTCCAGTCTCGGCATCGAATGTATTGCATAGACTGAAAGGTGGAATATACAAGTGAAGAGAAACAGCGGGGTCCGACCCATCATTTTTCATTTCGTGCACGCCAATTGAATCGTCGATAAATGCGACGTCATCTCTTTCTCTGGTGTACTGGCCAATCTTGCTGAAATTTCTGCCTTTCTTTGGAATATCGTACCTGTGGATTAGTTTGCGAAATGATAGATAATTGTGAATTTCCTGAGAAAAATTATCCTGGAAAAAAAATATTTTCATTGTCTTCCAATGCATTTTTACCTAGATTAATAATAGAAAGAAATCATGTTGTCAACTACTGTATTTTGGGTTCATGTGTGCTGCAAACAGAAATATGCAAGAAACTTTGATTTTAAAGGTAATGAGCACAGATGTGTCTAAGTTGACAATTTGACATAACAATTGTGTGCAGAAGATAATATTTGCAGCACAGTTTCGTGACTTATTATATCACTACATCATATTATCATATTCTAAATGTAAGTTATTTTTACCTCTTTTCCGCTTGCCTTCGTGGTGTGACTGGAAGAATGTCCAAAGCGTAAACGGGTGGTCCGAAGTTCGAGTCCTGGCGAGGACATTGCACATTTTTCTCGTTTAGACAGCGATATAAACTTACGACACACTTTAAAAGCGTGAGTTTTTAATATATTTTCTCCCTGCTTTTCGCGTGCCTTCCTGGTGTCCGACGCATAATCGGGAGGCACGGAATTTGAATCCTGGCTAGGGCATTGCAGATTTTCTTTAGTTTCCTAGGTTCGAAAAATATTTAAAGGATTTTACAGTGCCTTCCGAACTAAAAAGTGGAGGACGAGAATTCGCCACCACCTCGATTTGGAGATGCTTTCGTGGTGTAACTAGAAGCACGTACGACACGTAATCGAGAAGTACAATCCCGGCGAAGGCATTGCACATTTTTCACATTTCTAGACATCGATATAAGTTAATAACTCTACGTAATCATAAAAAATGCTAGTATAACATATATATTTTAAACTTGGAATTATAGAAAAATACTATCATTCAAAGCTGCTTTCAGAAAACTAGAGAGTTTCTCAAAATGGAAGGGAAACGTGTCATCGTAAAATTCTAAATTAGGAAAATTTGCAATCATAGCTTGTCGTAGATTCTGAATAAAACTCTATTAATTTCGAGGGGAATCAGATAAAATAATATTTCCTTCTTCAAAATCAAGACCTTTTGCAAAAACAGGAGAAGGGAGAGCAATTATATATATATATATATAAAACAATGAACGGAGTAAAGCAAAATTAATGCTAACTGCCGAGAAAAATAGTAATGAAATATGAAAAAACAGCGTCTTAAAATTCTGAAAGCATTAGGAACAACTGAAATTAAAATTAATATCATTAAGTAGAGAAGATAATTTTTTATGAATGCCGACGAATCATTAAGTTGGAATAACAGTAGTTTTTGTGAAAGTGAAAGGCTTCAAGGAAATCTATTTCACCAGTTGATGGAGCTTTACGAATAGTTTTTGTAGAACACAAGTCGAAATTGTAATTAAGTGCCCAGTTATGATTAGCAATTGAAAGTTTGTTTATTTCTTCTGTTTGAACATAAAACGAGAGTTCCTTGACACGAAATTTTAGCATTCTTTTAATTTGGCTGATATATTTCAAACCACATTTAGAAGTTACTTACTTACACATTCCTCAAGAATTAAAGTCAGAGAAGGGATATTTAACAATGGACTGATGAATTTTACTATATATGAGGAAATGATATAAAACTTCTAGAAAATGCGGGAAAATGTTTAGCTTACAGAAGGAGTAAATGGGATCACGGCAAAGGTAGTTTGGTTGTTTGTATTATGATATGTCTTTTTTGACGGCAAAACGAAAACTGTTTAAATGTTTTTACCAAATAAAATAGGAGAAAATACTATGTCCATTAGCAATTGATTTCAAGTACTTGATTTCATAAGAAAGCAAAGATCCTGAAGAACAAATTAAAAAAAAGAATACATATAAGTGTAAAGAGAAGCAATTTTTGTTCAGAAAGGTGACAGGATGTAGCTTGGGGAAGTAAACAAGCAAAATATGGTTTACAGTAAGCAGTAATACTGAAATCAAATCCATTGCGGATAATTAGAATATCAAGGAAAGGAAGGGAATTATAAAATTCTCTTTCAATAGTGAACAGATGGCTGTATCTATCGAATTCGTAAAGATATCTCTTATTAAATATTCTTTTATACCATAAAAAATCATGAATATATTGTGGAGACATAGGTATTTTAGAAGCAGGACAGATAAAAAATAAGCAAATTCTTCGCCGGGACTCGAACCATGAACCTCTCGAATACGCGCCAAGCGTGCTGCTCTTACACCACGAAGGCATGCCAAGAAGGCGAGAGAAATACCTTATATACTTCCCCTTTTAAACGGCGACTGGAAATTAGGGAACGCAATCGCTAAATCCTGGTGGTGGAGATGTAAGGATCTTAAGTTTTACTAACGTTTATTTTATTTTAAATCTTTACTATCACTTCTTATTTTCTACTTCCGGCCAGAATTAAAAGCTTTAACTTATTTATGCAAATTTGTCTGGCGAACGCCAAGTACTTAAGTTGTGGCTTTTTGCCAAGCAAGAGAGAGGAAGGAGTTAGTCGAAGCAGGCCGCTTGCCTTAGCAGTTTTTACTCGGTTGCTGGTTGCCTTCCAGGCCAGAGATTTAATCCTCTTAATAATTTTAAACGTATTGTAGTGTTAACAGTTCTCTGTACTACATACGGCTTCCTGTTAATATACGGCCAATCTTCCACGTAGGCCCTTGTTTATTATTCCAAAGTTAAGTTAGAGTTTAGTTAATATTTTTATATTCTTACGTTCAGACCACAAGTGGTTGGTCTCTGTATTCCGAAGTCCGGAAATTATTGTTTATTATTTCAAAGTTAAGTTAGAGTTTAGTTAATATTTTTATATTCTTACGTTCAGACCACAAGTGGTGTCTCTGTATTCCGAAGTCCGGAAATTATTGTAAAGAGTGAAAAATAAAGGGTTTCGTATACCCTTCCTGTGTATCTTGTCTACTTCCCACATTTATTGAACATAGCTTTAGTAAGCTCCCTGTTCCGAGTCAGGTTCTTGAATGTTCCCCAAGCAAGTAAGGCGGAACACTGAACCTGATAGAGAATCATCATCCACCATCTTTTTTTTAGTTCGGGAACCACTGTAGAGCCATTTTAGAATTTTTCGAAACAAGGAAATCTAAGAAATGTGCAATGTCCGCGACGGGACTCGAACCACGGATCTCTCGAATACGCCTCGAGCGTGCTGACCACTACACCACGAAAGCATGCTAAGAATGCGGGAGAAATACCTTATAATGTCGTCAGTGTACAAATCGAAAAGACAGTTTTTCAAATAATTTGGCCCCAAAGTGTTACATATAAACGTCAGAAAGTACTGTACTGAGAAGGTTATTCGTAGCTAATCCTTAAATTTGGCAGTAGTAATTATTTTTAAAAGTATAGTGTGTTTGACTCAAAGAAATTCCACCGAAAAACATTTAGTACCTCAATTCCGGTGTATGTGGGAAATTAAATTCCAGAAGTCTGGTTTCAAAATATTTTAATGGTCTTCAGCTGGAACCTTAATAAGCAGCTATTTAATATTAAAAAAATCATAACTGAGCGTTGTGAAAAAATATAAATCTATCAAAAAGTTCTAAAATTTATCCAACATTTCAAAATCACAATGTAATTTTACAGTGATTATTAGAACGTACTAAGGCAAATCCAAAAAACAAGTATTTGGTTAAAAGATATGATGTTATTCCTAAGTTACTTAACTATAGAGGGAAAAAGTATTTTTCACACTTCAACAATTCATCAAACATTCCAACAATATTTTTCTTAATCACAACATTTATAGTTTTATGAAATTTGGAATGAGCATAATACCTAGCAAAGTTAGCAAAAGATGAAATAAATGATTTATGAAAATGAATTGGGAGTTTATGAGCTTATTTAATAAATCTTCTGACTTTCGAGATGTTCTGAAAAATCTTCGGGAATCGACCAGTATGGGCCTTCTTTCATTGTTTTTGTTAAGTCCATCAATGTATGTGTATGGGTCCACGTCAATTATCTGTCCACCTTTATCAATTTTAGAAATAAATAATGCTTAGACTACAATGAATGGCACGTAAGATGATCTTTCCCTTTTGGTTAAGCTTTGAACGAGCGCTTCATTTTGTAGAGTTTATTTAATTTGTTTATCCAATTTTTTTACGTTACGATTCTTTACTGTTACATCTTTCTTTCCGTTTTCTCGCCAGAATGCAAACCATTCGCTTGTATTTAAGTGAGGATTTGAGGTGATTTAAACAGAGCGTGTTTAGCCTAGTGAAAACCAAGTTGCTAGGTGTGCTATTCTAAGATAAGAGACAGCTCAGCTAAGAGCTAAGGTGAAGCTAAGAGCCAACCTCGGGATTAATTTACTGTCTGTAGCCTTTGGTTATTTCTATTTAGATTTATATTTAAATTGAATTTCTATCTAATCTAGAAATCTAATTTGATTTCTCGCCACAAATGCAGGCTGATTAGTAAGCACCAGATGCGCTTTCTATTTATCTTAGTTTTAAAATAAAGGGAGCCCACCAGCGGCCGAGTGGTAAAGTCTCTGAACACTGGTAGTTCGGTCCGAGGTTCGAATCCCGCGAACGGGCTGACTGCATGGGTGTTTTCGTGGTTTTCTCCATGTGTAACGCGGTACACGAGCCAGTTTCCCTTAGAAACTCCTCCACTAAGGAATCCTTCCCCTTAGGCAGATAGCCCTCGAGGCTTCGCCGTAATTAAGTAACCTAACCTAACCTAAAATAAAGGGTCTTTTTCACCCTTCTCAAGTCTCTGTAATAATTTAAAGACATAGCGATAAGTCACTTACAGTCTTATAAAGGATTCACTACAAGTTACACTTAGTAAGAGGTTCATTCCTTACAATTTATTAAAATTAACGTTATGACTATTTAAGTGGCGGATTTTATCTTGCTTCTTCTCCGAAATTTTGCTGATCTTAAAAGCTTTTCAAATAAGGTAAAATAATTAAGGAGGAAAAAAAAATTACATGTTTTTGAAAAGTAAACATGTAAACCTTAAGATTTATAGCACTTTTTACAGCAAACTTTGGCAGTTTGC